AGAATGTCCGGTCCTATATGGAGTCCCGCAAGGAAGCATCCTCGGACCAAGTCTCTTCTTAATATATATAAATGACTTGTGTCAAATATCGTTACAAAATGGCAAAATATTTACTTATGCCGATGACACAGCCTTGGTTTTCACTGGAGCAACCTGGGAAGAGGTTTGCGATACTGCTGAACGCGGTTTACATAAAGTAAGCTGCTGGCTGCGAGAAAACCTACTGACTTTAAATCTATCTAAATCTACTCTTGTCCAATTTACGCTGCCACACAATAAACAGAAAAATGTTCAAATCAAACTCCACTCATGCTATTCTCCTCGCAATTCTGACTGTTCCTGTCTTACTGTTGCCAAATCTACCAATGTAAAATATTTAGGGGTGATGCTTGACGAAAGACTCAGTTGGCGTGCACACATAGACCTCACGACGTCACGCTGTAGAAAACTAATATACGTTTTCAAAAAACTGAGATATGTGGCTAATCTTGAGCTACTGCGTACAATATACTACGCCCTTGCGCAGTCGGTGATGAGTTACTGTGTTGGAGTCTGGGGTGGTGCCTGTAAGACTCACTTATTGCCTTTAGAAAGAGCACAAAGATCCATACTTAAAGCTATGACTTTTAGTCCGTACAGATTTCCTACTACATCGTTGTATGACAAATGCCAAGTATTGACTATAAGACAGTTGTACGTTTTGCAACTAGTAATCAAGCAGCACAGAAACACTCCATACTGCAAAGACAATTACGTCAAAAAGCGCACCCGCACTAATGTGTGTTTTTCCATTAAATGTCGCACAGCTTGGGCAAGACGTCAGTTACTATTTATGGCTCCGTATCTGTATAATAAAATTAATAAAACTTTAAACATATATCCGTTAGCTGCTCGTGAAGCTAAACTTAAAACTAAGAACTGGTTATTAACCTTAGATTACCATAAAACTGAAGCCTTATTGTAACAACTGAGAAAAAATAAAGTATTTGCAGGTAATAACAATGCAATAGACTCTATACTACTAACGCGCGAATGTATATTGTCACACACAAACGCAGGCACACACACACCTACACCCGCGCACATGCACATTCACACACACTCACACACACACACACACTTAGTAAAACATATAATATGTAATTTATTTAATAATGTACCTATTAAAATTGTTAAGAAATAGGTAATGTAAGGTCAAATGTTTGAGAGAGGACACTGACTCCTGTAACACAGGTTATACCTAGCTCAGGTGTCAGGGACTTCACTATTGTGTTGTAACTATTTTGTAACAATAAATATTATTATTATTATTATTATTATTA